GCCAACAGTGACTGCCCAGACAGGTAGAAGAGGAGTGTTGTTAACGCATATGTCGACCGTGCTCTCAGCCACAGCTCAGGATGGAAGCAAGTCGATGAAGAACTCTGTAGGGTAAGGCAGGTCCTAGTCAACAACGGCTTCTCCAATGGTTTCGTTGAAGACATCATAAGAAGGAAGGTGAAACGCCATGCAACCTCTGAAGAGACAACTAACACAACACCTATACCCCCTATTAGACTATTTTACAGGAACTTCTTTTCCACAGCTCATAAAATGGAGGAAAGGGTGCTGAAAGATATTGTTAATAGAAACGTTATCCCTACAGACAAAAATCAGTAGATACAATTGACGATTTACTTTAAAACCAAGAAAACGACCAGCCTACTCATGAGAAACTCTCCAGACACAGAGCAGAACGCTTGATTTAAAAGAGACCAATGTCGTCTATGCCTTCAAATGCCCACTTGGGGACTGTAAGCCTCAATGAACTCAGTATATAGGCAAGACAACAACATCTGTTTCCAGGCGATTAACGATGCATAAGCAACAGGGCTCCATGAAGGAACATATAATCTCTTCCCACAACCAGACCATCACCAGAGAAGTCTTAACAAAAAACACGGAAATCATCGATAGATACAGCGATAGCAGGCGGCTTGATATCTGCGAGGCACTACACATTAAGAAGTCAACACCAGCAATCAACAGCCAATTAATGCACAACTATATTCTACCCACTTCAAGACTCCGCACCAATATAGAAGCATCAAGTAATATGGGCCAATAGGCCCTTTGCAGTTACTTCCATTCTTCCCTTTAACTTACCCAATATTATACCCATTGTTTCGTGTTCTATCTTGTGTTGAAAGTTTGTTTTCACCTCATCCAAAACTGTTGTAACATATCACCTCACCCAAATGCAGGTATAAAATGAAAGCTGTTTAAACTCTGTTTAGTGTTTGCAGGTTATAGCTCTGTGTGTGTAAATTAAAGTCTTTGAAAATGTAATAAGTTATTACGAAACGCGTTCAAGTGTCGCGTCAGACTAGAAATAAAAATGAATTTTGGGGAATTGATTTTTTAATTACCATCGACAGTGAAGAATAGATATATATGTGTATATATTCTTAGCATTATTTCTTTGGTAAAGGTAAGCCCGGCTTACACTTCTCTTCTTGTTACTTAAGAAAGCGACAGTGTTTGACTTCGACGGGGAGGTGAAGCGGCTCCAGGAGGCCCGGGGCTACGCTGCCGAGCTTCTCCGCCTCCTCCAAAAACACCTCAACTTCTCTGAGGTCATCCATCAAGTCGACGGCTTTGGCTCCATCACAACTAACGGCTCCTGGAATGGCATGATCGGCGTCCTCTCTAGACAAGTTGGTCTTCTATTGTCTATTCCCAACAAGTTGGTATTCTATTAACTATTCTAGACAAATTGGTATTTTATTTATTCTGGACTAGTTCGTGTTTTGTTAACTTTCTATTCAGAACTTATCACTATTTCTTCAATGCATAAAATTTCTAAGGAAATAATAGTGAAATATTTAAGACGCATGTGGTGTATTACCTGTTTAGAGGCCATTAAAACGCACATTAACGAATCACAAGTATTTTCTTATAATATATTGCTTCTTTATAGTCTTATACATTATAAAGTCTTGTGTAAATAATAGTTATATAATAGGTACATAACAAAATTATTGATAAATGGTTTCGTATATCCAGGCGATGAGTCACAAAAACGTGGCTAAAGTATGTTGACCAAACCACACACTAGAAGGTGAAGGGATGACAACGTTTCGGTCCGTCCTGGACCATTCTCAAGTCGAGAATGGCTTGAGAAAGAGTCGAAACGTCGTCGTCCCTTCACCTTCTGGTGTGTGGTCTGGTCAACGTTTCGCATATTCTTTGCCTCTTAATGAATTTTAAAGTTTTTTGTTTACAAAAAAAAGCTTATACCGAAGTAATGGAAGAGCCAGCATTTACCTGGTACTAGTGTTCATTCTGCCGGTGGCTTTTCAGGCGTAGGCTTTACAAGCAGTGGCTTTACAGGTGAGGACTTTATAGGCGGTGGTTTTACAGGCGAGGACTTTATAGGCGGTGGTTTTACAGGCAAGAGAGAATGCCGAGACGGTGGTTCTTTTTTCGGATCGATTTCTATTTTTGTTTTGTTTTTAAAATTTATTGCTTAAAATAATTTTTGCTGGTGATTACAGCTAAAAAACTTGAACAAGTTTTATTTGTCTGAAATCATCGGAAGGTAAAATACATGTCTATCGCTAGCGAGTATAAAATGTGATTATCGTTTTTAATAATAAGCCCATAATAATAATAATAATAATAATAATAATAATAATAATAATTATAATAATAATTATATTATTAATAATTATTAGTAACGGTAACGTCTTCTAACAGACATAATAAAATAGGATAAAAACCCACACTTGTATATATTTGAAATTTATGTTAGGAATTTACACCAAGTCTTTCGCACTCTCCTGAGTGCTTTATGAAAGGGAGGGGGGGGATAGGGAGACACAGATGGTAAAGGAGTAGGAAGAGAAGAGGGAATATTGGATGTGACTGGAAGAGAAGTGTTAAAGCAGGATAAAGGGATGTTAGGGCAAAGTGGGTGGAGAAAGGTGGAGAGAACGGGAGAGGGGGAAAAAGTTGCAGAGGCGGAGATGAGAAGATTGAGAGGATGGGTTAAGAGAGATGAGAGAGAGAGAGAGCGGGGAATGGAAGAGAAAGGGGGGGGGAGTGGGAAGTCATGGTCTCTGTTGTTTACCTCCCTAAGTATTGTTATAATTGGCCCCAAGGGTCTTTGCCCCCCCCCCTGTACCATGGCGCCACTGCTGATCACCCTGGGAGTACCCCAGTCTACCACGGGCTGAGACACTACCCGTATCACGGCCTTAAACCCGTTACGAGTGGAGTCTTTTTTAATAATAAAATCTTGTAAATAAAGAATGGTTATGGAATAAGTAAACTAACTACAATATCATAATAAAGAGTTTATCATCTTAGCTGTCTAGTAGGTAATGAGAAGTGCATCTGACAGCCTCTCGAAATAAGTTAATTCAAGTCTCAATGTGATGGCATTGTGGACACGTGATTCACAATTTGAGATGACCAGCTCTCGTAGACATACCTCCATGCTGTGAAGAACATACAATGTTATTTCTATTGCAGGCGATGAGTCACAATAACGTGGCTGAAGTATGTTGACCAGACCACAATCGACTTGAGAATGGTCCAGGACGGACCGAAACGTCGTCGTCCCTTCAATTTCTAGTGTGTGGTCTGGTCAACTTATTTCTATTGAATTATAATCATCTCAGTTAATCTCCATGGAAGGGATTAACTAATTTAAGGAATTGAACTCACTCGGGTTATTTGATGTTCATATGTCCTAACGGCCGGACAATCTCTAACTATTATGGTCATAAAAAACTATTCGATTATCACTTATACGACCGGATGTGTTGTCCCCAATGTTGGATGAAGCAGGCAGTAGCGTTTGGGATTCGTAATTGAACGGATGTTCCCAAATTAACGCGATGCTAATTGGAGTTTCCCGGGGGTGCTGATGTTATGGTTCTAGGAGAGCAAGTGTCTCGTGCGCCCTCTACCTTCCTCTCAACGCATAATCTCGACATACAAGTCACGATACTCTACAACTACAACGTCTTATTGTCTAATAAGACGTTACCGATGTTATTTTACATCTTAATAATGCACTTCACACATCGGCAGACAATTTTCTGCTGTTTATAATATTGAACTGAAGTGTCTTTAGACAAGAACACATATGGGAATAACATATACAGTTCGTGACTTATAATCAACCCAAATCAGCTGATCATGACTGGAAAATTCCACCTAGATATGGAGGTATAATTTATTTTAACGAATGAAATCAATTTCCAATCTAAGTTACCTAGCAAATTAATCAATGGTTAGACTGAGTTTAATTCGATTTGAATAAAGAGTTTACTCTCATGGGAGCTAGACGACTGATGCAACAGCGGCCATGTATAGTAGGAAGGTTTTGGCGTTACTACGCTACTAGTTAGTAATATTAGTAAATATAATTTCCTAGCACAATAAATACGAGGAAGGAGCGAGCAGAGAGGGGGAACAGAGAGTGACGGGGTTCGAGACCCGCTCACCACCATTTACACCCTAATAATATTAATGATATTTGCCAACAACTGGTTATTGCTGTACGTAATTAATATTCACGGCGTCAGTTTGTTTCCGGCTGAACAAGACCACTACTGACTTGTTCACATACAGGCAAGTCAGTATTAAGCTTACAGCTTGACCTGCACCACGCTTGTCTAAATACTTCACCCACGGATTGCAAATACTAATATTTACCAACAGAACCAAAACCCTAACCTAACCTGTTCTAGGCCTAACTATGCACAAAATTATAATATACGACAATATTAATATACATTTAAGAAAATATCCCTTGTGGTTACACTTCATGTAAAAACTGACGAATGCATCTTTGGGGTCGGTAGCAGCCCGTCCTCCTGAGCCTTCCCAGTGTCAAGAAACTGTCGTCCTGAAGTGCACTTATCCTAACCTACCAGAGGACCATAAACAGAAATCGGGACAGTATATCAATTTTGCAGGCCACTGCCATTGTAGTACGAAAATTTTTGGCCGTAGGATGAGTATACACTAAAATGCAACGTACTATTAGGATGACCGGTTGGACCATGAGGATGGTTGGAATAATTGCCTAAGCCTCCGAATTTTACATGATGAAAATCATTGTTATTCATTTGAAGCTTTTATTGCAGTGTACCATCACAGACTCGCACTATAACTTAAAATAGAAAACGGATTTCCTAACCCCTTAGTTTCTGAAGAATGTCAGGTGTCAGAAAGTGGTAGGATGTGTCAGGATGTGGCCTGTGTCAGGAGGTGTCAGGTGAAAGGATGTGTCAGGTGTCAGGTTCCAGGATGTATCATGTGCCAAGATGTGTCAGGTGCCAGGATGTATCATGTGCCAGGATGTGTCAGGTGCCAGGATGCATCAGGTGCTAGGATGTGTCAGGTGCCAGGATGTGTCAGGTGCCAGGATGCATCAGGTGCTAGGATGTGTCAGGTGCCAGGATGTGTCAGGTGCCAAGATGCATCAGGTGCTAGGATGTGTCAGGTGCCAGGATGTGTCAGGTGCTAGGATGTGTCAGGTGCCAGGATGTGTCAGGTGCCAGGATGTATCATGTGTCAGGATGTGTCACGTGCCAGGATGTATCAGGATGTGTCAGGTTCCAGGATGTATCATGTGCCAGGATGTGTCAGGTGCCAGGATGTATCAGGATGTGTCAGGTGCCAGGATGTATCAGGTGCTAGGATGTGTCAGGTGCCAGGATGTGTCAGGTGCCAGGATGTATCAGGATGTGTCAGGTGCCAGGATGCATCAGGTGCTAGGATGTGTCAGGTGCCAGGATGTGTCAGGTGCCAGGATGTGTCAGGTGCCAGGATGCATCAGGTGCCAGGATGTGTCAGGTGCCAGGATGCATCAGGTGCTAGGATGTGTCAGGTGCCAGGATGTGTCAGGTGCCAGGATGTGTCAGGTGCCAGGATGTGTCAGGTGCCAGGATGTGTCAGGTGCCAGGATGTATCATGTGTCAGGTGCCAGGATGTATCAGGTGCTAGGATGTGTCAGGTGCCAGGATGTATCAGGATGTGTCAGGTGCCAGGATGCATCAGGTGCTAGGATGTGTCAGGTGCCAGGATGTGTCAGGTGCCAGGATGTGTCAGGTGCCAGGATGTATCATGTGTCAGGTGCTAGGATGTGTCAGGTGCCAGGATGTATCAGGATGTGTCAGGTGCCAGGATGCATCAGGTGCTAGGATGTGTCAGGTGCCAGGATGTGTCAGGTGCCAGGATGTGTCAGGTGCCAGGATGTGTCAGGTGCCAGGATGCGTCAGGTGCCAGGATGTGTCAGGTGCCAGGATGCATCAGGTGCTAGGATGTGTCAGGTGCCAGGATGTGTCAGGTGCCAGGATGTGTCAGGTGCCAGGATGTGTCAGGTGCCAGGATGTGTCAGGTGCCAGGATGTGTCAGGTGCCAGGATGTATCATGTGTCAGGTCCCAGGATGTATCAGGATGTGTCAGGTGTCAGGATGTATCATGTGCCAGGATGTGTCAGGTGCCAGGATGTATCAGGATGTGTCAGGTGCCAGGATGTGTCAGGTGCCAGGATGTATCATGTGTCAGGTCCCAGGATGTATAATGTGTCAGGTGCCAGGATGTATCAGGATGTGTCAGGTGCCAGGATGTGTCAGGTGCCAGGATGTGTCAGGTGCCAGGATGTATCATGTGTCAGGTGCCAGGATGTATCAGGATGTGTCAGGTGTCAGGATATATCAGGTGCCAGGATGTGTCAGGTCCCAGGATATATCAGGTGCCAGGATGTGTCAGGTGTCAGGATGCATCAGGTGCCAGGATGTGTCAGGTGCCAGGATATATCAGGTGCCAGGATATATCAGGATTTGTCAGGTGTCAGGATGTGACCGGTGTCAGGATGTGTCAGGTGCCAGGATGTGTCAGGTGCCAGGATGTATCAGGATTTGTCAGGTGCCAGGATGTGTCAGGTGCCAGGATGTGTCGGGTGCCAGGATGTGTCAGGTGCCAGGATGTGTCAGGTGCCAGGATGTGTCGGGTGCCAGGATGTGTCAGGTGTCAGGATGTCAGGTGCCAGGATGTGTCAGGTGCCAGGATATATCAGGTGCCAGGATGTGTCAGGTGCCAGGATGTGTCAGGTGCCAGGATGTGTCAGGTGCCAGGATGTGTCAGGTGCCAGGATATATCAGGTGCCAGGATGAGTCAGGTGCCAGGATGTGTCAGGTGCCAGGATGTGTCAGGTGCCAGGATGTGTCAGGTTCCAGGATGTGACCGGTGCCAGGATATATCAGGTGCCAGGATGTGTCAGGTGCCAGGATGTGTCAGGTGCCAGGATGTGTCAGGTGCCAGGATGTGTCAGGTGCCAGGATGTGTCAGGTGCCAGGATGTGTCGGGTGCCAGGATGTGTCAGGTGCCAGGATGTGTCAGGTGCCAGGATGTGTCAGGTGCCAGGATGTGTCGGGTGCCAGGATGTGTCAGGTGCCAGGATGTGTCAGGTGTCAGGATGTGTCAGGTGCCAGGATGTGTCAGGTGCCAGGATGTGTCAGGTGCCAGGATGTGTCAGGTGCCAGGATGTATCAGGATGTGTCAGGTGCCAGGATGTATCAGGGTGTGTCAGGTGCCAGGATGTGTCGGGTGCCAGGATGTGTCAGGTGCCAGGATGTGTCAGGATGTGTCAGGTGCCAGGATGTATCAGGATATGTCAGGTGCCAGGATATATCAGGTGCCAGGATGTGTCAGGTGCCAGGATGTGTCAGGTGCCAGGATATATCAGGTGCCAGGATGTGTCAGGTGCCAGGATATATCAGGTGCCAGGATATATCAGGTGCCAGGATGTGTCAGGTGCCAGTATGTGTCAGGTGCCAGGATGTGTCAGGATGTGTCAGGTGCCAGGATGTGTCAGGATGTGTCAGGTGCCAGGATGTGTCAGGTGTCAGGATATATCAGGTGCCAGGATGTGTCAGGTGCCAGTATGTGTCAGGTGCCAGGATGTGTCAGGATGTGTCAGGTGCCAGGATGTATCAGGATATGTCAGGTGCCAGGATATATCAGGTGCCAGGATGTGTCAGGTGCCAGGATATATCAGGTGCCAGGATGTGTCAGGTGCCAGGATATATCAGGTGCTAGGATGTGTCAGGATGTGTCAGGTGCCAGGATGTGTCAGGTGCCAGGATGTGTCAGGTGCTAGGATGTGTCAGGTGCCAGCATGTGTCAGGTGCCAGTATGTGTCAGGTGCCAGGATGTGTCAGGATGTGTCAGGTGCCAGGATGTGTCAGGTGCCAGTATGTGTCAGGATGTGTCAGGTGCCAGGATGTGTCAGGTGCCAGTATGTGTCAGGATGTGTCAGGTGCCAGGATGTGTCAGGTGCCAGGATGTGTCAGGTGTCAGGATGTGTCAGGTGCCAGGATGTGTCAGGTGTCAGGATGTGTCAGGTGTCAGGATGTGTCAGGTGCCAGGATGTGTCAGGATGTGTCAGGTGCTATGATGTGTCTGGTGTCAGAAAGTGGTAGGATGTGTCAGGTGCCAGGAGGTGTCAGGATATGTCAGAAGGTGCCAGGGTGTGTTAGGAGGTGTCAGGATATGTCAGGAAGAGTCAAAAAGTGTCAGGAGATGCCAGAGTGTGTCACGATGTGTCAGGAGGTGCCAGGAGATATCATTATGTATCAGGATGCGTTTAAAGGTTCCACAAAGTGCCAGGAGTTGCTAAAATGTGTTACAATGTGCCAGGATGTGTTAAAAAGGTGTCATAATGTGCCATAACATGCCAAGATATGTTAAAATGTTCCATAAGGTGCCAGGTGGTGCCAGGATGTGTTAAAAGATTTTATGAGGTGCCAGTAGATGGTAGGATGTGTTACAAGGTGCCATAAGGTGCCGGTAGGTGCAAGGATCTGACAAAAGGTGTCAGTTGGGGCTAGAATGTGTCAAAATGTGCCAGAAGGTGCCAGTAAGTGCCAGAATGTGTTTAAAGGTGCCATAAAGTGCCAGTATGTGCTAGGATCTATTAAAAGGTGCCATAAAGTGCCAGTATGTGCTAGGATCTATTAAAAGGTGCCATAAAATGCCAGTACGTGCTAGGATGTGTCAAAAGGTACAATAAGGTGCCACGTGGTGCTAGGACGTATTAATAGGTGCCAGGAAGTGCTAGGATGTGTTAAAAAGTGTTATAAGTTGTCAGTAGTGGCTAGGATGTGTTAAAAGGTGCCATAAGGTGGCAATAGGTACTAGGATGTGTTGAAAAGATGCCAGTAGATGCTAGAATGTTAAAAGGTGCCATAAGGTGCCAGGAGGTGCCAAGATGTGTTAAAAGGTGCCAAAAGGTGCCAGGAGGTGCCAAGATGTGTTAAAAGGTGCCATAAGGTGCCAAGATGTGTTAAAAGGTACCATAAGGTGCCAGAAGGTACCAGGAGTTAAAAATATAACAAAAAACTTGTTAATACTTTTAACTGTCAGGAGCAAAGAACAAACTTTATATATTCAAGATGCATTAAAAATGTTCTGGAATATATAAAGTGGGTGTGTCCTCCAGGGGCCTAATACCCCGAGTATAGAGCAGCACAGTTAGTCGCTTAAAGTGTCCTGCCGGCCACACTGAACATTGGAGACAACGTCGCCTTAAGTCACTTAAAGTGTCCTCACGCCGCTCCTCGTAGTGCTGTAGCCGTTGCCTGGCACCTGCAGGAGGCAGACTTAAGCCACTTAGTGTCCTCACGCCGCTCCTCGTAGTGCTGTAGCTAATGCCTGGCACCTGCAGGAGGCAGACTTAAGCCACTTAGCGTCCTCACGCCGCTCCTCGTAGTGCTGTAGCTAATGCCTGGCACCTGCAGGAGGCAGACTTAAGCCACTTAGTGTCCTCACGCCGCTCCTCGTAGTGCTGTAGCTAATGCCTGGCACCTGCAGGAGGCAGACTTAAGCCACTTAGCGTCCTCACGCCGCTCCTCATTGTGCTGTAGCTAATGCCTGGCACCTGCAGGAGGCAGACTTAAGCCACTTAGCGTCCTCACGCCGCTCCTCATAGTGCTGTAGCTAATGCCTGGCACCTGCAGGAGGCAGACTTAAGCCACTTAGCGTCCTCACGCCGCTCCTCGTAGTGCTGTAGCTAATGCCTGGCACCTGCAGGAGGCAGACTTAAGCCACTTAGCGTCCTCACGCCGCTCCTCGTAGTGCTGTAGCTAATGCCTGGCACCTGCAGGAGGCAGACTTAAGCCACTTAGCGTCCTCACGCCGTTCCTCGTAGTGCTGTAGCTGTTGCCTGGCTCCTGCAGGAGGCAGACTTAAGCCACTTAGCGTCCTCACGCCGCTCCTCGTAGTGCTGTAGCTAATGCCTGGCACCTGCAGGAGGCAGACTTAAGCCACTTAGCGTCCTCACGCCGCTCCTCGTAGTGCTGTAGCTAATGCCTGGCACCTGCAGGAGGCAGACTTAAGCCACTTAGCGTCCTCACGCCGCTCCTCGTAGTGCTGTAGCTAATACCTGGCACCTGCAGGAGGCAGACTTAAGCCACTTAGCGTCCTCACGCCGCTCCTCATAGTGCTGTAGCTAATGCCTGGCACCTGCAGGAGGCAGACTTAAGCCACTTAGTGTCCTCACGCCGCTCCTCGTAGTGCTGTAGCTAATGCCTGGCACCTGCAGGAGGCAGACTTAAGCCACTTAGCGTCCTCACGCCGCTCCTCGTAGTGCTCTAGCCGTTGCCTGGCACCTGCAGGAGGCAGACGTGGCTCCGCTGGACTTCAGCCCGGACACCGACCGAGCCGAGGTGGTGGACTTCGGGGAACCCTTCAGCCAGGACAATGTTCTCATCCTGTGTGAGGCGCCGGCGCTCATCATCAAGCCCTTCCTCCTCCTCAACATCTTCTCCCTCACAGTACGTTTATTGCTATTAGTTACTGATGTTGTCCCCCCCCCCTTGTTGCATTGTTAGTGGCTTGTACTGTTCTTGTTCATGGCCTCAACTGTCCTTCTTAGTGGCTTATTCTATGCTTGTTCATGGCCTCAACTGTCCTTCTTAGTGGCTTATTCTATCCTTGTTCATGGCCTCAACTGTCCTTCTTAGTGGCTTATTCTATCCTTGTTCATGGCCTCAACTGTCCTTCTTAGAAGCTTATTCTATCCTTGTTAGTAGTTTGTACTGTCCTTGTTAGTGGCTTGTACTGTCCTTGTTAGTGGCTTGTACTGTCCTTGTTAATGGCCTCAACTGTCCTTGTTAGTGGCTTGTACTGTCCTTGTTAGTAGTTTGTACTGTCCTTGTTAGTGGCTTATACTGTCCTTGTTAGTGGCTTGTACTGTCCTTGTTAGTGGCTTATACTGTCCTTGTTAGTGGCTTGTACTGTCCTTGTTAGTGGCTTATACTGTCCTTGTTAGTGGCTTGTACTGTCCTTGTTAGTGGCTTGTACTGTCCTTGTTAGTGGCTTATACTGTCCTTGTTAGTAGTTTGTACTGTCCTTGTTAGTGGCTTGTACTGTCCTTGTTAGTGGCCAGTATACACAGTGTTAGTGGCCAGTATACACAGTGTTAGTGACCAGTATACACAGTGTTAGTGGCCAGTATACACAGTGTTAGTGGCCAGTATACACAGTATTAGTGACCAGTATACACAGTATTAGTGACCAGTATACACAGTATTAGTGACCAGTATACACAGTGTTAGTGACCAGTATACACAGTGTTAGTGGCCAGTATACACAGTGTTAGTGGCCAGTATACACAGTGTTAGTGGCCAGTATACACAGTGTTAGTGGCCAGTATACACAGTGTTAGTGGCCAGTATACACAGTGTTAGTGGCTTGTATACACAGTGTTAGTGACCAGTATACACAGTATTAGTGACCAGTATACACAGTATTAGTGACCAGTATACACAGTGTTAGTGACCAGTATACACAGTATTAGTGACCAGTATACACAGTATTAGTGACCAGTATACACAGTATTAGTGACCAGTATACACAGTATTAGTGACCAGTATACACAGTATTAGTGACCAGTATACACAGTGTTAGTGACCAGTATACACAGTGTTAGTGACCAGTATACACAGTGTTAGTGACCAGTATACAGTGTTAGTGACCAGTATACACAGTATTAGTGACCAGTATACAGTATTAGTGGCCAGTATACACAGTGTTAGTGGCCAGTATACACAGTGTTAGTGACCAGTATACACAGTGTTAGTGGCCAGTATACACAGTATTAGTGACCAGTATACACAGTATTAGTGACCAGTATACACAGTGTTAGTGGCCAGTATACACAGTATTAGTGACCAGTATACACAGTATTAGTGACCAGTATACACAGTGTTAGTGACCAGTATACACAGTGTTAGTGACCAGTATACACAGTGTTAGTGACCAGTATACACAGTATTAGTGACCAGTATACACAGTATTAGTGACCAGTATACACAGTGTTAGTGACCAGTATACACAGTATTAGTGACCAGTATACACAGTGTTAGTGGCCAGTATACAGTGTTAGTGACCAGTATACACAGTATTAGTGACCAGTATACACAGTGTTAGTGGCCAGTATACACAGTATTAGTGACCAGTATACACAGTATTAGTGACCAGTATACACAGTATTAGTGACCAGTATACACAGTATTAGTGACCAGTATACACAGTATTAGTGACCAGTATACACAGTGTTAGTGGCCAGTATACACAGTGTTAGTGGCCAGTATACACAGTGTTAGTGGCCAGTATACACAGTGTTAGTGGCCAGTATACACAGTGTTAGTGACCAGTATACACAGTATTAGTGACCAGTATACACAGTGTTAGTGGCCAGTATACACAGTGTTAGTGGCCAGTATACACAGTGTTAGTGGCCAGTATACACAGTATTAGTGGCCAGTATACACAGTATTAGTGGCCAGTATACACAGTGTTAGTGGCCAGTATACACAGTATTAGTGGCCAGTATACACAGTGTTAGTGACCAGTATACACAGTGTTAGTGACCAGTATACACAGTATTAGTGACCAGTATACACAGTGTTAGTGGCCAGTATACACAGTGTTAGTGACCAGTATACACAGTATTAGTGGCCAGTATACACAGTGTTAGTGACCAGTATACACAGTATTAGTGACCAGTATACACAGTATTAGTGACCAGTATACACAGTGTTAGTGGCCAGTATACACAGTGTTAGTGACCAGTATACACAGTGTTAGTGACCAGTA